AGGCACCTTTCATTTCCATGGGTCTACATTGTTATCTAAAACAAAAGAAAGCTTTAATACTTTTTGTTTGTTTGTTTAACTGAATCCAGAAAGTTTTTACTCTTACTTCTGTTTACGGGGACTGAGCTATACACTATATACGTCAATTAAGACACTGAAATTCTAAGTCTTCCACAATATGGTTATCCTACAATCACTGTCTTATTTCCCACAAAACCCTTCACTCCAACCACACAAATTATTTTCAACATTCCCAAAACTTAGTGCGCACATTTAAGAATGCTATGCCTTTTCTCAAGTTAATCTCTTTGCCTAGCAGATGCTTTCCACCCTCTCGTCCAGCCCATTTGGGATTCCTTCACAGTTTATCAGAAAGAGCTAATGTCACATCCTACTACCAATATTCCCTATCAGAATTAATCCCTCCCTTCATTATTCTTTCACAAGCCATTCTGCAAAACTGCCTGAAGACACTCTCCGACCTTATGATTATGCAGAATGATCTCTATACTATGAGGTTTCTGGAGCTATAAGTACTCTAACAAGGTACTTGGCAGAAAGAGCATAAAATGGAAGTTTGTTAAACTGAATTGTGGACATCACATATTTTAAATGTTGGTGCAAATGAGTTGACAAGCAAGCATTTCAGTAAACACATACATATTTTTTTCATTTTTGCAAGCCTAAGAAGTCATTTGTTCAAAACTACTCACTCATCTATGTTCCACATTCTCTAACCAGAGGTGCTTACCTCCTACTCAAATTACCAGTAATGGGTTTTATTCACAGACATTGTAAATGTCTACTCCATTTAGTAGCATGATACTACTGGCGGGATGGCTATTTTAAGTAAAAAAAATTAAAAAATCTCTAAAGTCATTAAATCACATATTTTATATAGTATATAATTTCAAAGATGTCTCTTAGTTCAACTCTTTATAGAAAAAAAATTATCAATTGAAAAGTTATTCCTAGGAAATCTTCATTCAGAGAAATACCAATTACTTGATTTCATAAAGTTGCCAAATTTATCATCTAGTTGTCTTTTTTACCTGTGGCATATTTGAAAACCAACTGAGATAGTGTCTCTGAAAAAAAGTCAACTTTAGTCAAAATGGCCATTCACATTAGCATGCCTCCCTCAATAAACCTGACAACCTGAAAAAAGTCATACAATTTCAAATAGATAAAATTACAATTTTAATATACAGATATAAATGGTAGTTTAAATGTTATAAACTGAAACATAAAAAAATTCTTTTTTAAAAAGATTTATTTGAGAGGGAGAGAGAGAGAAAGAACAGGGTGGCGGGGCAGAGGGACAGAGGGAGAGGGAGACAGAGTCTTAAGCAGACTCTCTGCTGAGTGTGGAGCCCAATGCAGGACTCAATCTCACAACCCTGAGATCATGACCTGAGTCAAAACCAAGAGTTGGACACTTAACTGAATGCACCACTCAGGCACCCCCCAAAAAATATTTCTAACGTATCCAAATACCGCTATTTATTGGATTATAAATGTTTATGTACAGATCTAATATAAAGACATGAAAATTCCATTTTACTTGGTTACTAGGAATATTACAGACATTAAGTGTTGAATAATTTCTGAGATATTAGTGGTCAGCAACACCCATTTTTTTCTAACAGAAAAACTTTCTAAAGCATAAGGCTTAAGTGGAAGAAACCAAAACAGTGTTAGCCTTGCCTTATTTTTGCATATGTGAAGGATTTTGTGAATATTGCCGCATTTCTCAGATACTGGTGGAAGCAAGTTTAACCCTCAATTTTTTCATTTAGTAGCTATTTATATAGCTACTTGGCTGTATTACTTAAACACTCTGAATCTCTGCTTCATCACTTGTAAATTGGGAATAATGATTCTCAGAGTTTCTGTAAGATTTGAAAGTGCTCAATAAATATCCTTTTAAAACTGATTAACAGTTTCTATAGATTTTAAATTATTTAACTAATATTGATGTCTAGATGATTTTCATATTCACCTTTTAATTTTTTATTTTTTTTAAAGATTTTATTTATTTATTTGACAGAGCAATAGCAAGAGCAGGAACACAAGCAGGGGGAGAGGGAGAAGCAGGCTTCCCGCCAAGCCGGGAGCCCGACGTGGGACTTGATCTCAGGACCCCGGGATCACGACCTGAGCCACAGGCAGACGCTTAACTACTGAGCCACCCAGGCGCCCAATTCTCACCATTTTTAGAGCCTTTTTCAAAGTTCTTCATCCTTACTGATTATTTCCTTACTTGTTTTAACCTATAAAGAGCTTTAAGTAAACTTTATTCTCATCAGTAATATACCCACTTCACTAAAACAGAAATTGAAGCTATATGTTTTCTTTAAAACTTACGTAAATCATATATCCATTTTACTGTTTCCCTGGATTCACCTTTGTTTCACCTAATTCATGTAGCTTCATCTATTATAAACTATGTCCATATGTTTTCATTTTCAAGTATTCCTATTGCTTTCACATGCTATGTATGCACTATTTTTTGAGGGATAATCTAAGAGTAACATAGCTCATTCCAACAGTGACATTCCAAGGTAACTGAGTATTCAATTTATGTCTTAATGTCTGATTCCCTGTGTGATTTTTCCCTCTGTAGTTTATACATATTGGTCACTGGTCTTTATATTTATATGGTAGAATCTTACAGGAAATAAAAAGCACACGTGTGTTAAAGGTAAGTATCTACTTGGCTTAGAATTTTTGCTGCACTAATTCCTAGCTCTGTGACCTTGTAAAAGTTATTTAATGTACCTGAGTCTTGATTTCCATATCTTTCAATGGGGTAAAATTATTCTTGATTTCTAGGACTCATGTGAGTAAACTGCTTTAAACAAAGCCTCGCATATGGTAAATGCTTGATAAGTATTAACCATCTCTTCCTTTTTCACCTTAATCTATCCTACTTATTTTCTCCTGTATTCTCCTTCCTTTCTTCTTTCACCCTTTCCTCCTGTAAATCTGTGGCTGGTGTCCAAAATGTTCATCTCAGTCAAGTACTATGTTTATCAAAGGGAGAAAAGAAATCTGAATCAATTATGCAAATATCAACACAAATAACTGGACTTTCATGAAGTTTCCAATGCTCCTATCTGTTACCAGTGCCATGATGAAGATGCAGGCTTTAATCAGAAATAACTAAGTTCGAATTAAATCCCATCACTCACTACTTAACCTATAACTTGTTGGTATTTTGTGTTCCTTACTCTCTTTAAGGTGAGGTTTCTCCGACTGGGAAACAGAACTAAGATATACCTCATCAGGCTATTGTGAAAATAAAATAAAATTCTTAGCGCAGTGTCTGCAAACAGAAAACTTTTGGGTAAGCATTACTTTTCAAACAATTCCGCCCCTTCTGTAAGTAATAAGCCAGAAAGAGTAGGAAAAAAAAAATCTCCCTTTCACAACACCTATGACAAGATCAGTAAGAGAACAATAGCAGTAAGTTTATTTGTAACTCTGTAAGTCCCTGTGTCTCCTCCTCACCAGTATGCTTTGAAATGCAGCCTGGTCAAGACAAATACAATCACTGGAGCAGGGATGTAACTCCTTCTGTTCCTCACACGATTCTTTGGCTATGACCACATGAAGCCAGTGATAATATAATCACTAATATTTTTGTCATTTTTTTTAAACAATGGAAAAGTAGCACTTATAAACTTTATAAGTTCTTATAAATTACTTTGTATACTGAGAAAGGAAACATGTACATATCTTGGAAGAGAATTTTTTAAAAAAATGTTTCATTCGTTCTTGAAAGTAACTGTAATAAATTTGACATGCTTAATAGTCAATAAATATTGATGTTTAATGAAAATAAGATCATGAATGTATAAAGATAGTTTCAAAGATTTATTTTCAGAAATGGTTTGATGAGAGCTTTATGAGAATAAAACGAAAATTTCAGAAAAAATAAAATCGGTCTATAAAACAAAGAAATCTAAAGAAAAAATAGCCTGTTGAAAAAAGGAAGATTTAACTCTTCATAGAAATTTATAGTTGAAAACACACATGTTAAATGAGTAACTGTTGCTATAAAAGGCCAAATTCAAACAACATTTGAATGATTCTAAAAAATAAAACATTTTTCAGTCAACTTCTGTTAGATTTAAATTTGCAGATGTAATGGAAAAAGCAATGTAAAAATATCAACTTAGAATCTGATGAATGAGAAAAATACAATTTCTAAAAAAAGGAAGAAAAGCTAACCCAAGTATATCTGAATAACAGCTGAGTACCTCCATTACTAAAATTTTGCTTAATTAGACAAAATCTAAATAAAAAGCTTCACAAACCACCCTTTCATTTTAACTTAAAATTAAAAAAAGAAGTAGAAATACATTGCAATGTCAAAATGATGCAAAATACATTAAACTATATTAAAAAGCAATTATAACCACAGCTAAAATGATATCAGTACTTGAAAAATTGTAATTTGTAAATTACACACCCTTAAATTACACATGACTTTCAAAAGCAAGAACTCTCAGCTAACAAAAACCTAATCATAATATTTCTTTTTGTCAAGTTCAAAAAACACATACTACTTTAGTACAGATATTTTCTAATAAAAAAACAAATTGTTAATATCTGTAAAATCCACTTATGATAATCTAAAGTTTATGGACAAATACTCACTGAGGTTACCAAATTTAATAAACCTATATATAAAAAACTGTCTTGAACTTATACACAGAAATTTTTTCTATGAGAAAACATTTATATGGGAGACAGTCCAATGTTACTATATATAAACACTATATTAAAGAAAGACTAATTTAAAAGAAAGCAAAGATTTTCTACAAAATTCTCATTGGTTACAAGTTCTAATTGTATTTTAATCTTTTCTCTGGAACTTTAGTTATATGCTAAAATTAATACTACCTAGAGCCCAAATCCACTGTTCTTTTAACTATTATAAGACCCTAAAAACCTAGCAAGGATGAAAATTTTAAAAACATATTTAAACTTACCCCATTTAACGGATATGTTTTCCATCCCAGCTCTCCCAGCACAGTTGTTGTATCAAGCAACACAACTGGAATTAACAAAAAAAAAAAAACTTACATGAATTTTTCAATCGATGCAAAAACGTTATTTAAATCATTAATGTCAACTACCTTTACTATTATTCATTGCATTAGTTTTAATACGCTGCATTACTTACTTTAAAATTAACTGTGTATACTAAATACTAATATAATATTAAGTAATGATAAAATACATGAGGTAGTTATAACTTATTTTTAAAATATGTAATTTGTGTTTAATAATGCTAAATAAAATAGATAACTGAGCAACAGAATTAACAGTCATTTTTAATAGCTGGCTTTTAAAACTGATAAATGTTGATGGAGGTAATCAAGATGATGTGACTGACAGTTGACCCTTGAGCTGGACCCAGGCAACGGGGGGCTCTTCACTCCCCTCCCCCAACCTCAGAATGTAAGCTCTGCCTACTGTTTTGGTAGTGGGAGCTGTTCCAAGGACAGAGCCTTGAGAGAGTAACATGTTGTTGAGACCACCTGGATAGTATACATGACTGAACCCAGTTAAGGTTTCTATGCAAACTTTAAGATTCTGGTGGGTGGGTGTGGAACCTTGCAGCTGCCCAAGACAAGTTTCCTTGCTTATTAGCCCTCCCACCTACCAATCTGGAGTGGTCTGCCTCTTTCTGCAGTCTCTCTTGGCCTGCATGAATAGGGGGCCAGTTTGGGGACCAACAATGGAATAGTCACCTTTGCTTCCCCCACCACTTTCATATATAGTCTTTTTATACCACAATAAAGAAAGAAAAACTGTTAAAGCAGGCTTCTGTAGCTCCTTTTTATGTTATTAAATGCCCTTATATATGATTTGCATAGTATGAAAACAACTCATTTTTAATAAATCTACTATCTTTAAAGCATAGATTACATTATTATTGTACGTGTGGGTATACTGACAGCTAAGGCAAAAGCAAAAATAAAAACCATGCATCTTTTTTCCTGACCAAAAGTTACTCATAATCTGATCAAAAGGCAGACCTAAAAACAAATGATTAGAACATTTTCTGTTAAATTTTAAAATGGAAGATTATATAATAGCCTAGCAATTAAGTTACGTTAGGGCTAGTACGGAGGTCTGGGAGAATTTCACGAAGGAGATGCAATTTGAGCTGACCTAGGACAAAGGGACTTTCAATTAGATGTGATAAGGAACAAATGGTTTACTTTTAGAATAAAGTAACTGAGCTATAACTAAATCAGTTTTCAGTTGCTGGTGTCAGAACTAGCAGTGGGGATTATTTGGGGAATTAGCAGGATAGAAATGAGGTTGGAAAGATAGATATCAAATGGGGAGGATTTTTGTGGTGTTTCCAGGAGTTAAATTGTAGGGCCCATGATTCAGATCTTTATTTTTAACTACTAACTCCAAGTGCCCTAGATGCCAGTAGGCCATGGATCATACCCTGAGAAACAATGCTTTGGTATTTCATCATGAGTTTTAGATCTTCACATAGTCAAGAAAGTGGGGTTTTCTATTCGTAGTTTTAAAAAGTTCCACTGATAGTATGCTATTTGGTGTCTATTGTAAGGATTCTGTGGTTTTTCTTATTTGAATCACTATGTTTTATTAATTTTAAGTACAAAACCATACGTCAATTTCTGATGAACTCTAATTACTCATTGTAGAATATTCTTTCAGTACTGTTAAAATCAGTTTACTAAATATACATTTGTAAAACTGAGCTGTAATTCTTTAAATTTTATTGTGGAAAATTCTCAAACATATATTAGAATATAGAGAAAACAGTAAAATGAACGCTCATGTACTCATCACCCAGATTCAATAATTACCAACTTATAGTCAATCTTACTTCATCTATATATGTTTGCCTACTCTCTCCCACTGCAGAATTTCTTTGAAGCAAATTCCAGTAATAATCATCCATAAAAATTTCAGTGTATATTTCTATGATAAAGACTCCTTTTAATATAGCAACAATATCTTAATTTATTACTATAAGTAGTAATTCTTTAATGTCATCAAATATCCCTATTGTCTCAACTTAACTTGAACAGAAAAATCAAGTTCCAGATAAGTGCTATTCATTGCAGTGAATTGACATTGTTCTTTGTTTTTTTTTTAATCTAATTTCCCCCGTTAACTTTTAAGTTAGATTTACTGAGGTATGATTTACTTACAATAAAAAAATCACCCTCTTTAAATGTACATTTCTATGAATTGTGACAAACCCCCACATCCATGTAACCACTGCTACAATCAAACTATGGAATATTTCCATCGCCCCCCAAATTTCCCCTGTGATCCTTTTTGGTGAATCCCTTCCACAGCCCAGCCACTGGCAACCACTAATCTAATTTCTGTCCCTATGATTTTTGCCTTTCCCAAAACATCAAATCAATGAAATCATATAGCATGAAGCCTTTTTGGGCCTGGTTCTTTCACGTAGCATAATGCATTTGTTATAAATAAAGCCACTATAAACTTTCATGTATAGATTTTTATATGACCCTATGCTTTTACTTCTCCATGGTAAACAGGGATTCCTGGGTTATAGGGAGAGTACTTATTTATTTATTTATTTTTTTAGATTTTATGTATTGGTCAGAGAGAGAGCGTGCACACAAGCAGGGACAGTGGCAGGCAGAGGGAGAAGCAGGCTCCCTACTGAGCAGGGAGCCTGATGTGGGACTCCATCACAGGACTTGTGATCATGACCTGAGCCATGCAGGCGTCCCAAGAATGCCTATTTTTGAGAGACTGTCCAACTGTATTCCAAAATGGCATTAGCAGAATATGGTTTTCCAGTTGCTTTACATGCTCAGCAGGATTTGGTATTGTCCAGGTTTTAAAGGCATTCCAAGAGGTGTGTAATGGTATCTTATTGTTGTTTTAATATATTTAATTACTAGACAGTTATCTTTTTCACTACTTGAAATCAAATTTACTAAAAAAATAGGTTATTTCATCCCACATTCTAGGTTTTTCTAATTGTGAGATATCATTGAACATGCTCTCCCATTCCCTTTATTTTCTTTAAATTAGTAGATTTAGTAGCTTGATCAGATTCAAGTTCCATTTATTTTTTATAAAATTACATACCAATGTCTACTAGGATTATGTTAAAAAGACTTGGAATCCAACTTTCATAGGCTTCCACTGGCCAAAAATGGATAATCTGATCATATACCCAAAGTTAATGCATTCATAATGATTCATAATGATAAAATATACCTACTGATAACTTTTGCAGAATACTAGGAAAGCATTATTTTAAAAAACTAGTAAATAATCTGAAAACAAAACATTTTGCTTTTTCTATATAATCTACTTATGAATAAAGAAATAGTTAAATGAAGTAACATTTCTCTTACTGAAATAGTTCAGGTAATAAATGAAGAAGGAATGACTGAATTAGGCTATCCCATTTTCTACTCTTAATGAATTAATATATTTAGCTAATGGTTTTCAATGGCTGTTAACATCACCTAAAGAGAAAAAAAGACACATAAAGGGTTAGAGCTTTTTAAAAGGGTTTCTTAAAAGTTTCATTTATTTCCTATTAACATACAATGCTAACAAGCCTGGAAATAAAATGAAATACAATAAGGATGATATATATATATATATATATATATATATATCTCAATCATATATACAAACACACACACATATATACATTCATTCTCATACACACACACAAATTATACAAAAATATTTGATGGCATTTGGGTTCATTCAGTGTAACAACTCATATTTTAGATAAAAAAGCCGAAGATATCATTATAATAAATATCAAAGATATAAGTTTATCTTATTATCAAATGAAAGTTATTTTTATTTTTGTTATATGCTACTGAAAAGAATTCAGAAGTATTAAAGGCCAGTATGCAGTTCTGAGTACTCAAAAGTTCAATGTAACTCATGGAGCACATTTATACTTTTAAAAATAATCATTATTTCCCTGCAGGCTGGCAAAATAATGATACTAATTCACAGTCCCCGTTGGAAGAACTTTCCATTATTTTCTTCTTCAAATAGCCTCCACATTGTCCTATAAGTTGTTTCTTTTTTCAAATACCCAATTAACAGATGAGAAAACTGAGCCTCAGAAAGGTTAAGTAGTTTTCCTTGAGATCAGAAACAAATTTGGATTCCAAACAAGGAGACTGATGCTAGAATGACCTCTGTAAAACATTTAAAACTTTTAAATTTTTTAAGTGTTTTTCTTCTTACCCTTTATAAAAGTTTTTATTTAAATTCAAGTTAGTTTACACAGTGTGTTATCAGTTTCAGGTGTATAAGATAGTGATTCAACACTTCCATACAACACCTGGTGCTCATCACAAGTGTACTCTTAATCCCCAGCACCTATTTAACCCATCCCCCACCCCCATCCCCTCTAGTAATCATCAGTTTGTTCTCTATAGTTCAGAGTCTGTTTCTTGGTTTGCCTCCCTTCACTCTTACTTTTGTAGATACAGAGAAACATCACTATTTCTTTTGCTGATCCAAAATCTTTTATCCTCGTTTTTTCATCAATGGATTCTACAGAAAATTTACCGGTACTACATATAAATCACACCATTTAAATCAAAGGGTTTACTGGAGCAGAGCGTTCAAAAATCTGTAATATTAAAGTCCACCAACAGAGATTCATTTTTCATAGACTGGAAAACTAATTAATTGATTAGTTGTCCCAATTTTTTTTTCTTAAAACTGTTAGGCTGCTTGGTTCTCAATATTTAGCATATATAAACTGTGAAGTATATTCATGTCAAAACAAACAAAAAAGGGAAATATGTATATACCTACAAAAGTGTAGATCCTTAGAATTTTCTTATTTCTTTATTAGCTTCAAGAAGCAATATTTATAAAATTGTTTATTTTCCTCTTTAAACTGCAATCATACTTTTTAAAAAATACATAAGAACAGTAAAATTTCAAATTTGCATTCCTGACAAGTGACTGATAAACTGATACTAAAATAAAACTAAGGAGTTTGAGATTTTTAATACTACTACACGTGAC